ACCAGTGGTCCATCAACCCGGTTTTAGCCCCGGATATCGACTGTTCGTTCTCTCACTTTGGTGTGAAAACACCTCCGCCAGCACGAGAAGGCAGTCATTAGGGTTTCCTCAGCAGAGGCTATTTGAGACGCTTAGTCTAATGGGAGCATTTCGCGCGGGGTGCAAGGGAAAGGTGACCAGCCGCGAGCCTAAACACCCACCCCCGACCGTACACTGAGGTGTTCGGAGGCACAGTGTAATTTGAGAAGATGGATTGAGGTAGGATAAGACAAGTTATGCATAATCCGTATATAGTAATTTCACACAGAATAAATATATGCAGAGAATGGAGAAAATAATTTCATCACACATTTTACGTGATGAACAGCAGTTGGGTCGGACCGGTAACCTTAGCCCCCGAGACCCGGTTTGGCGAACCATACATAAGACCTCGCTGGGTTAGGCGTGGTATTGAACCGAACGACATTAAAACTGCCTAACACCAAAGTTGGGTGGTAGCGGGCTTAAACATCGGGCCATAGGGTCCAAAGCACGCTGGTGATAGTGACTAAACCAGTGCACCACTACCAGCCAAAAATGTAGATGTCTTGGTAACTTGTAAACTACTGTTGGTCGGAGGACTATAGTTTGCCAGCAGTTAAAAAGTCGTTCTCAAGGCAAATGCTCGTTTGTCCACTGAGTGGAACAAATTAAAGCGGTTAGGGCATATTCTAAAATTCATTGAAAGCGATTCTCTTTGGTCAAAACTTCCGTCGTTTCAGATCCTCAAAATAGGTGGGAGTTTGCATCGTGGATAGTGTGTTTATTTTTTGCTATAGTTGTGAATTTTCAGTAGGTCTTCACTGAGAGAAACTGTTTTGTGGTTAAAACAAATCACGTAATGGGAGGATGATGATGATGCCTTTTTATGTCCTTTTTTATTGATTGAATATACAAATGTTCAGTCAACATTCAGGAAGGGGGCTACGGCCATACAAAGGCTGCCTGGGGAAATACAGAAATAGGGAAGACGGGCGGCGGTGGAGCGGTTCGAACTCGGGACTTCTGGGTCATAAATTGATGACCTAATCACTTGGCCACCATCACCAAGGTAGCTTTCGTCAAGGAAAGAAGTTAATGATAACAATATCAATAATAATAATTGAAGAACAATATTACCAACGGAGGCAGAAATTTAGTATGTACTGTTTCTGTGTACATGGCGTGGGGTTTTGCGACACGGCTTCGCTTTATAAATGTGATACTTACTTTCTATGAGGTTCTGGAATACTGCCTTGTTGATAGACCGCCACTTTCGCTTTTAGGGTGGCCTGGAGTCCGTTTTCAATTCAGGTATTCTTAAATTGCTTTCCACCTTCGGCTTAAGATGTGAACCGCAGGCAGGTCACGCTATCCCTTTAACGCCTCCTAAAAGTAGCAGGCTTCTGATCAGATTTGCCTTGTGATCTGCGGCACTTTCGTACGGGGAACGCCTCCTCTGTTGGACCATTAGAGCTAGCAGATAAGGTTTCATTGTTCGGACGTACGGATCGTAATTTTCAATAGTTTCGCAGGTTTCTGATCCTTTCAAGCTGAACTGCTTTCTTTCCATTTTTTATCATGGATGCAACACGAGCTGTAACGCGCCATAAAAGGGCCACTATTTGGAGTATCTGATACATGTAACGATGATATCAAATATTGCTAAATTTTCTTGTTCACATCCGGATACAGGTTGCGAGTCCGTTGAATCACTCATCATATCTAGCCGGAAAACATTCAGTTTGTGAACCATAACTCACTCTTGTGAATCATTTGTATTACAAGTGGGAGAAGGTAACCCCGTATAGGTATCACCCACTGGTTGTACAGGGACTCTTTCTATATTCTTATTGAATATAATCAAAAGAGGTCATTTTACCCCGGACCGTGGTAGGATGAATCAAGTGACCATATTCAGCGGGAGGCGCTGACCATTTCTTTGGGGATTCAGCAGAACCACGGTGATCGTTTTCCCATCGTTGGTCACCGATCCTTCGTGTAAACTTATTTTTTCTACGTGAATTGTTATTAGCAGAATATCCTTTGTATAACGAACCTGCTGTGACTGGTTGTTATGTTTCATCCTTTAAAATTTTAGTGTTCATCGGATTCGAGTGGATTACCGCATACTGATTGATTGATTAATTTATGGAGTGATAACCAGGGTCATCTCATTGTCGGTTTATGTGTCTTTACTCTTCGTTCAGGTCCCAAACCATTGATGGAATTGTCCGCAATCGTTGCACGCACGGCCGATCCAGGCTCATTCCGATTCAAGTGAGTCAGTCCCATTCGGGTTTTCCAACTGTTCGTATGTAGTTTTCGTCATTTGGCAATCAAATTTTGCTCCTCTTCTTTCGGGACCCTTGTTTTTGTGCCCTCCGTGTTTCAGTCCACATGTGCACTCATTGTTAAGCATAATGATTTATGAAATGAACAAGCATTGCCACCCTATTCCCATTTTATCGTCATTTCCCGAATTCTATGGAATTTTTTCTACTGTGTTATGTGCGATGTTAGCGCATTGTTAATAATTCTTGTCTTTTCCCCGTTCAGATATTTCCGGGTTTTGGTTCAGGAAATGCAGTTACAATTGGATCAAGGATTCCTAACTGATATAGTTTATTTCTTCGGCAGTAGTGTTTCCCGTGTGGACGAAGTAAGTCGAAGATTTTCTACCTATTGTACCATTTGCTTGTTTTGTTGTCGAGTTGAGAAAAAAACAAACCGCCCTTCGGATTGGATTGAATTCATATTTCCTCCATTGCGATACTACAAGCTCTTCTGTTTGCAAAGGTCTTATGGCTAACCGAGGTAGCACTATGTGGTGTACCGCACCCA